CACGAGATGGAATTCTTTCCTCCCCGACTCTCGGGGAGTAGATGAGTGTTCTTTTAAATGCTGACTCCGGGACTTGAACAAGGGGCCTCACCCTCTCACGGGTCCGAGAGGGACTTCCAATTATTGGTCGGACCATAACCGGGTTGTTCATTAGAGGAGCAGTGGTATTTTAGGAGTAAGATGTAACTGAGGGGTAAAACGGTAATTTGACCCAGCTTGAGTTACAAGCACTCGTGAATGATTGACTTGTCATTAATGGTCGTATATCCGTGGACACAAAAACGTTCTGCAGTGAGAAGAGTGCAACTGCGGGTTTTTAGTGGAGTGACCCGTAGTTAATGAATGTTGATTAACTCGATTAATGAGTTTGACCGATTAATCTTGTATCGTTTGAGCTTCTGATCTGTAGGTCCATTAGGTCCCCTTGCTAGTTCACAACGGGTAAAACGAGGATCAAATTTTTTTAGAAAAATTTGAAATATTCAAATTGCTCGAGAGATTATATATGTATGTTGATACATTATAATATATATAGTTAATTCTAATTAAAAATATATATTATGAGAGAAATTATTTGAATGAGATTAAATAAAATTACTATGAATATGATTCATATTAAAACTATAGGTTAAAAATAATGTGCATAAGATGTACATTACAACTATAGGTTATATGGAAGAATTGCTTTAGAATATGATTTTATTTTGGGATTAAATAATTAAATTTTAATTATTTATTTCATTAAGAATTAATTTAATATTAATATAATTAATATTAATATTTATCACTCCCCTACTTAATTGCAGGGAAGTAGGTGGTTTGTGATGACGTGGGCTCTGGTTTTTTGCAGAACTGTTCTGCACACAAAAAAAACAAACGGGAAAAAGAAAAATCACACCAAGATTTTGTTCTCTCAAGGGCTCTCTCTTAATTCCCTCTTGTTTTCCAAATCAAAGCTCCCACAAGCGAGATCGTCGTTCCCAGAGGATAGCGGGAAGATCGGTGGTGGTGCTCGTTGGTGATTTCTTGAAGAACGGTTCTTCAAAAGTAAAGGAAAGCTTTCCCTTGTATTTTCCTTTTTCATTTGTGGGTTTTGTTCCCAAAAATTCAAGAACAAAGATCCCTGCTTCCGCTGTGGGATTTACGTCATTTCAGTTATTGTATGCTCGAATGTGTTTTTTCTAAAATTTCATCATCGTCTACATGAAAATAATTTAAGCAATTCATTTGATTTTTTCCTTTTATAGATGACTTGCAATCACACCTATGTGCAGATGAACGCATCACTTCATCGAATAGTCACAACTCTTTTGAATTAACTTCTCTCAACAGACACTTTAACCTTTTGAACTAACTTCTCTCAACCGACACTTTAACCCGAACAATCGTGTATCATAGAAATTTGAAGGACAAAATAGGTATGTATTGAAAAGATGAGGGGAAAATGGAAGATAAAGATTCTCGTCCAAGCCCCCATTTATCTATAATATAGATATAGATAATATAGATATACATTTCATTTAATTTATAATTATTAGATGACATGGAAGATCACAAGAACCTTTCTCTACGGGGGAAGGAGATTCTTATAAAAGTTGTGGTGTAAGCTATTTCAACCTATGTTATGGGTTGTTTTCGTCTTCCTATTAGTTTCATTAATGAGTGCAATCGAATCATGGCAAAGTTCTGGTGGAGTGATGATAAGGAGAAAAGGAGAATACACTGGGCGAAATGAAAAAATATGTGTGTTTCAAAGTTGCAAGGAGAGCTAGGTTTCCAAGATCTTAAGTTGTTTAACCAGTCCTTGCTTGCTAAGCAAGGGTGGCTAATTCTTTCCAACCCTTTGTCACTTTTGGCGAGGACTTTAAAAGGAAAGTATTTTGCTGATTGTCATTTCTTGGAGGCTACTGGATTCCTATATATAACCAAAGCTCGTTTTCTGGGCTGAGGAATGACAAGCACAAGGCTCTAAGTTGAGATCTCTGGTAGGTGGTACCAAGGTCCAAAACGTTTACCACTGCACCAGATTTGAAATCACACTTTTATGAATAAATTAGTATGAAGCCCCCCTCAAAAAAATTTCTAAATCTATCACCGGCAGAAGGGATAGCTATTCGGGCTTGTTTGACGGAAGTGATTGAGCTTGGCTTCTTTAATTTTGAGGTGGAGTCGGATCTATTCAAGTGGTCATGAAAATTAAGAACCCTCAGGCAGACGATTCGRAGCTGGGTTGGATTGTGAAAGATATTATCGATCTTACTCGGTTCCTAAAATTTGTGAATTTTCTCTTACTTTCTTGCTCTTGCAACAGAGTTGCGCTTGATTTGGCTAGGATGGTTGTAGATGCTGAAATTTATGGAATATGGTTGGAAGAATGCCCCTCCCCTATTCTTTCCGTTTGGGAAGATGACTATCGGGCTTTTAGGACCCGTGATTTTTGTTTTGCTGGCTCTTAGTTTCGTTCGTGGTTTTGTTGATAAAAAAAAAAAGATGATATGGAAGATCTAATTTATTTGTAAGTTAATTATTATTTGTATGATAGAAAATCATGATATTGTGCAATTTATAATTATATATCACGGTTCTAAATGCCGCAGAACACATCGACATGTCGACGTATCGAATGGTTCAACATCTACACGTGGGGGGAAAATTGGTTTCCTCCCATATCGACGATATAATAAAATATCGTCGAAATATCGACATTTCGTCGCTATTTGCAATATATCGATTTAAAAAGAAAAACTTTAACTCAAGCCCATAAAAGAGGGCCCAGCTCATTCCCCATGTGGGAAAGGGATGGTACTTGAGAGGAGTAGGCCCCCTCAATGTTTTACCGATGTGGGAATCCCACACGAGATAGGATGAGCTGCTTTGTTTTTTCCCCTCTCTCTTTCTCCTTCTTTCTTTCCTTCTTTCTTCTAATCATAATAATAATATTATTATAATTCTATTTCAATTTTTAGTATTAACCTTATGATTTTTATTCCTATTAATTTTTTTAATTATAACCTAAAGATATATTTTTCTTTTCAAATTTAATTACAAAATTTTCAAATCTATCATTCAATTTCTATGATACATGTGTGTATATAATATATATATATATATATATATATATATATATATATTTTATGTAATAAATACTAGATTTTGTTATAAATTATCAATAAAACATAATTAAACAATATTAAAAAAATCTTCATTATCTTGTTCCCATATTTCTATTGTCATCAACATTTTCAATTATAGTTTAATTGAGTTATTATTAAAGTTTTATTTACTAATTAAAACAATTTTTTATTAATTTCCACAATTTCCGTGATTTTTCTCCAAATATCTGTCGACATCGACATTTCCATAACGGGACCTCGACATTTCCATCGACATCGACATTTCGAACCTTGTTGTATATACATATTTTTATATTTCTTACATCCACTACTGAATTTTCATGCAAAATAAAAATAGAAAATCAACTGCTTTTTTTTTCTAAACTTTCAAAATAAATTGGAGAAAATAAATATTTAATTTTCGAGGTTGAGTAAAGTTTTTTTTTGTTAAAATCCCATAAATACATGAAATTCCTCAAAAAAATTACAAAATTCCAAAAAACTAATTCTTTATAAGCAATATAGAAATCAAATTTGAGAATTAGTAGGGTGTGTTTGGTTAAGACAAACCCACCTTTGTTTCACAGTTTTATAAATTTGAGTTTGCTACAGTAAATATTATTCTACTCCCAGGTTTATTATAGTAAGTATTATTCTACTCCCAGGTTTATTATAGTAAGTATTATTTCACTCCCCAGGTTTATTATAGTAAGTATTATTTCACTCCCCAGGTTGTTACAACACTTTATCCCTACTCCCCAAGTTGTTACAGTGTATATTTTGTTTTTATTCTCTCCTCTAAAATCTATTAATGTTCTTAATTAAATAAATGAGAAAATTATTTAATTATAAATAAGTAAATCAATTTAATTAAAATTACATGTAATAAGTAATGAATTCATATATCGACAATTTTTTCTCTATTTTTTTTCCAATTGATCCAAGAAAAAAAAAATTTATCTATTTCTAGCTATTTTTTTTCATTTTATATAGTTGTTCATTTTGCTTCTACTATTTTATTTACTTTTTGTCATCACTATCACATTTGTAAAAGACGTTATAATTTTATATAATTATTTATTTTAATTTGATATCAAGTTAATAGTTTTTCAACCTGTATTATTTAAAAAGTTCACTTTGTAATAAAATGTAATTGTTAAATAAAAATCAAATCTTCTCTTTGTACCCTACATAAACCAAAATTCTGATTCCTCTCGCTAATCTTCCACATGAGAGTGAATCTGATGGTGGTGAGTGGGAATGAGTCGAAAGATGACATCGGACATAGATCAGTCCTTCCAACCACCACATAACACTAATAAATAAAATAGTTGGTCACCATGTAGAAGACAAAGAGTGTACCAAGGATCCCATCTAGGCTATGAATATTAATGAAAATGGGAATTTTATTTCTTGAATAATGGAATTAGATATCTAAAATAACAATTTTCTTACTTTTAGCTAATAAGAAGGTGAGCTATGCTAATATTATTTGTAATTAAACAATAATAAATTTCAATTTATTTTATTTTTCTTTTGACAATTTATTTAATTCTAAGAAATAATAGATAATTTAAAATAAAACTAGATCAAATAAATAAGATTAATATAATTTTTATTAGAGCAACCAKAGTATTATTGAATATTTTGTTATAATATTTAACTATATTTAAACAAATTTATTGATATTGATCAGCAATTTTACATGTTGAACTCAAAAAAGACCTCTTTAAGTTTGGACTCCCTCTGGTATGTTAAGTTATAAAAAAAACTCAACGAATAAATTTACCCTTAAAGTTGACACTATGAGAGAGATTCTTCAAACAATGCCAATTAAACTAATGCTAAAATAAAAAATAACACATTCACAATCGAAAAGAAACAAGGTAGAAAACCAAAAATCAAGTCCCATTAATGGCAGCTATAGTTCTTCAGTTTAGTTGCAAAAACATCTCGACTACTCAATCCTCAAATAACAGAAATAAATAACAAAACTTCATAGGCGACAGAAATGACCAGAACAAGGATAGCGGGCAGGCAGTTAAAAGCTCTAGGCCTTGAGGCGACCATAGAACTTCTGCTTCTCCTGCGTCGTCTGGAAGCGACCATGGCCAAACTTGGAAGAAGTATCGATGAACTTGAGTTTGATCTCCTCAAGAGCCACACGAGATGTTTGTTTGAGCAGCGACTGGCGAAGGGTGATGACCCTCTTCTTGGGTCCAACACATCCTCCCTTGATCATCAAGTAGTCACTCTTCACAACACCGTAGTGAGGGAAACCACCCATTGGAGTAACATCCTTCTCGGTCCTGGTTCATCAAGCAGAATGCAGGTAAGAGGGTGTATATATTTATAAAAGAACACCCAATAAAAACTTTTTGGAATTCACTGGTTATCTAACCTGTCAAATTCAGTGAGGGCGGTATGTGACTCCTGCCCTGCCTTTCCGATACGATATACCTTCTTGTTTATCTCAGTACGGTGGTGGTATCCATTCTGACCAGCCCTGGCAACAGTAAATGAGACTCTAGCAGGATGCCAAGCACCAATACAAGCCACCTTCCTAAGACCCCTGTGAGTCTTACGAGGGAGTCGGGTAACACCCCAACGAGTCACGACACCTTCATACCCCTTACCCTTGGTCACACCAATAAGATCAATCATCTCATCTTTCTGGAAAACGGCATCTACTGGAACTTGCTTCTCAAAGAATCCATATGCATAGTCAACCTTTTGAGCAATTGTCCCACCATTGACCTGTATCTCCATAAGGTGTGCTTTCTTTTGCTTCAATCCCTTCATCTTGGTAATCTACAAAAAAAAGATTTATAGTTAACATCTCTTGCACCCAACAACCAATTTAGATAGATAACAATGTTGAGCAAAAGCAAGAAATAATGATGAACTAATAAGGAAAAAGATACAGCAAACAGAAGTCGTAATTAGAAACATTTTCATTTGAGCAAGAGAAATAATCAAATTCCAGAGCAAACCCTATTACATAAATACATAATTATAGTTCTATAACTTCTATTTCATTACCTGAGTATGTGCCAAGACACGGATAACAGATGCATATTTCTTCAACTTCTCAAGACCCCCTTGGATATTCTTTTTTCCCTCATCAGTTTCATACTGTTTGGCATATTTAGTGAAAGCCTTCTTCTTGGACTTGCACCAGTTCTTATAGAACCTCCTCCTAACTTCCTCACTCAAATGCTGAGCCCATACAGTTCTCAAAGTACGAAGACCACGGGGTGTTTTCACATATCCAACAACACCAACAATCACAATTGGAGGGGTCTCAATGATTGTTACAGGCTCACAAGTCTCCTTCTTGTGAAGCTCTACAAAATAAACACAGAAAAACAAGCCCAAATTAAGAATTTGATGCAAGTTGCGGGCAAGTTAATACAATTCAAATCAAGAGAGCTTCCAAATTAGACAGAAAACAGAAGCATATGTGAACCAAAACATCATACATATTTGCAAATAGAACCAACAACTTCTCCAAAATTAAAAGAAACTAGTCTCAAATACTGTCATGCCACTCCATATTATCCATTATAGCACTGATTATAAATATTGCAATGACATATGTACTTAAGACATTCGTCATATACAAAGTAATACTCACTTGATCCCGGCTTCTCGACCTCCCTGACAATGTGTGTCATTCCAGCCTTGTAACCCAGGAAAGCAGTCAACCTACATGGCTTGTTAGGGTCATCCTTGGGAAAAGCCTTCACTGCAGGTTGCAAAACAAGCAAAAAGAATATTGAAAAACATAAACATTGAGAATGTCTCAAGTAGGAGACTAATAAAATTCACATTGTCAAAACCAAATAGTATAATACCCTTTCCCCTGTGACGAGCAGCACGCTTCCTGGGAAGAAAGCCAAGGGACCCGTGCCTTGGGTGCTCAAATTTCCTGTGAGACATCCTGTTCTTCCTTCACATATCGAAACAAGCCCATAATCAATAAAAAGTAAAACACTAAATCAACACCAAATAATAAATCGAGCTAAAATCAGAATGCTCAGTAAAAAAAATCGAGCTACATTCGCTAAGATAACAATATAAGGTGGCAGAATTGTACGAATCTGGAATAAATAGCTCCTACATAAAAATACGATGGAGATTACTTATGAGCAGACACAAATTTTTAGTAAAACCCAGAGATAAAAAAATTCAAAAAGCTTCGCTACGGAGCGAGATCATTGTCATAACGAATCCCCCGAAACCCAAAAAGCGATGAACAACCCTTGCGCCGTTCTAATATGAACAAACAAACTTCATAGCATGAAACAACATCACTACAGAAATCTCATCGCAAAAGAAAACAGAAGAAATCCCAATGTTATTGCATTTTCTACACCTCAACAGAATCCAAATGCGAACACAACTAGAAACAAAGCGAAATAATCTTCAGCAAAACAGCAATCAGCGATACGGAGAGAAGGAGAAAGAAAGAACCCGTACTGCCCCTGCTGCGGCTACTGCAACTTCTCACAAGGCAATGGAAAAAAAAACCCTAGTTATCGTAATATATAGGTAGCAATATTTGTAAGCAACCCCATAACTTTCCATAATTATAAACCAACCCCTGATTTAAAGGGCCTGGGCCCAATTTTCCGAAGTAAATTCTAATTGGGCCCAGACGGCGGCCCATAAGTTCAAATTTAGGGCACAGCGGAAGAACGGGCGCCGGTTTACATATAAATTGACCGAAAGCGAAGCGTTTCCTCTGCAAAATCGATCTCCGAATTAGGGTTTAGGGTTAGGGTTCCGTAGTTTTGAAATTTGAGGTTTATTTTTTTGAAGAGGGAATGATGAGAATTCTCAGTGCAAGAGCAGAGCCGCCAATTGTTTTGCTTTGGTTGCAATGTGCCGGCACCAATTCCACACGAGATTTCTGACTCTCCTCTAATTGTCTCTTTTCCTTCTTTTTCTTTTTCTCTTTTCTGTTTGGATGCTGAGAATCGAGGATAGAAAATGGCGTCTAATGTAGAAACTTAGAAGAAAACTCTATGAATTTTGTCGATTTGGAATTTTGTGGGGAGATGTTTTCGTTAGTCCTTGTTCTTCAGTGATCCGTGACGAAAACAGAGTTGTCGGTGGTTCTTGATCGAAAAAATGTTCTGGATCTGTGAGTTTTTTGTTCGGGAACTTTTTTGAGATTATACGAATTAGAAAGTTGGAGAAAAATAATTATTAGAAAAATAATAATCAATTAAATCAATTTGATTTTTTTTTAGTACAAAATCAATTTGATTAAACGAATATTAGAGTTGTATTTTTTAAAGTATCTAAACTTAGGGAAGTTGTCATTTTTTACCTCTTAAGTTTTTTCTTTTAGAAGTATGGGTCGTTTTTTGAAAACTAGTTATTCTATAACTTTTTAAAATATTGACTTCAAAATTACTTTTTTACTCATTTCTTATATCGAGAGACAATTAAAAAAATAAAAGATAATAAGCTTTGGTTATATTGCAAGTTATCAAATTTAGATCAAGGTTGATTGGGAATTTGGATTTATCAATTTATATACCCAATAACAAAATTCAAGAGATATTGGACCAGATGTTTAAGGATGAATAAAGGAGTACAATTAGATATCTCTACCATGTATAAAAGTTTTTGTTTTTGGAGATTCTAAAGAAATTAGCATGATATTTTTTATTTAAATTTATTAATTTATACTAAATTATTAAAGTTTTTGTTATTATTAAATTGAAGAATCTTAATCTTACATAAAATTTTAAAATATTAGATTAGTAACAAAATTAATTATAAAATATAATTTTTAACCAAGTAATTGCAAAACATCCGAGACAAAATAAGTGGGGAGGATACAAAACTTTTTGCTCCAAAAAAGGAAAATATAAAGATTTTTATATACTTGAGAAGTTAACCAAGTTGTATAACTATTCAAATTCCTGATCAATAATATATACTAGGTTAAAAAGCGAGGAGATTTAAAAGGTTAGAAGGTAAAAAGTTTTCCTACGACATAAAATTAATTTGAGATTTAGAATTTCAAAAGTCTTTGTAATTTACTACTATACAAATAGACTTTCTCCTCCATCTTATATGTTGGTGGCATATTCAAATTGTAAAAAATGTACATTCATCAAGTTACATAGGATACACTTGTCGAATCTATCTATATATCTCAAGACCCGTTCCACAAAGTTAACAGAATAATGAAGTGTCAATTAATAGGTAATTAGATTTTTCCATTGGGTAATTTTAAATGAGCTGTAAAAAAAATTAATATTTTATTTTGTGATGTGGCTATTCTTCCTCCTCTCTTTCTTTCTCCCCTCTTCTTCCTCTTTGGTTATCATCTTCTTTCTACCAATGCCTCCAGTTGTCGCCACCTGTTCGCCGTCGCCCACCGCAGGCTGT